AATGCTCACTATGTTTTGCCAAACAGCACACTTGGGAAATTTGGCTTCAAGCAAACATTGATTTTTTTGTTTGCAATTCTAAGTTCGAAACTACTTGCTTGCATGCTTAGTAAGGAGTATGAAAAGGTGAAATAAATGTTTTTATTAATTAAGACAATGTTTAAAGGACCTATGTTAATTTCACTTAACTGCAATTAAATGTGAATGACACTCAAGTAAATAAACCCAGAGATTAAATAATTAAATTTGAGTGATACGTCTTATTAAAATCTATTAATTCAATTCTTCAAGGGGCATATTTAATATTTACACTGAAAGTCTTTCTGTTTAATAAACTGAACTAGAAGGTGTATCTAAGAGAAATATTTACATGAATTAGTTTAATCCAGACAAAGATGAGGAGAATGGGAGCCAAGTTCTCTTGGAGGTGAAATTATCAAATGACCTCTTTGGCATTTACTCCAAAAGGAGAGTGCTCTTCAACTAAAGAGTGGAAACCACCTTTCATGGCGTGATGAGAGAGGTCACATGCCCGATGAACAGTATATATTTGCTCGTCACAATTGCTCTTCTTCTTCTTCGCAGTATCTAACATGATGGTATTTGGATATTTTTAAAAATTTACTAGGACTAATTATGGCCTTTTATACTACCTCCAAGATCTAGTCTACATAATGCAACTCTAATCTCTTGCTTTTTAACGGAATAATGAGATTAGTAAAATGGAAACATTTTGCAAAGGATGATAACCCAATTTCAGATGAATATTTTATAAAAGAAGATTCGAGAAAGCTATATATGCCTGAGGTTCGATCGCTGAAATGTTGGATTTCGCACTTCATCGTCATGAGCATTCAAATTTCGCCTCATTATGAACTATTACCGTATGATTTCATGATACTTGACGTCTCAAAATCATTAGAACTCGGTTGGTTTTGGCTCAGTTTCGGTTAACAAGTGTCATAATTTTTTTCAAAGAATCCTTACCATTTCAAAGAAGAAATGCTATTTTTAATTTTGGTGCTTAGTACACAAATTTCGGGCTCTTGATTTTAAGCCTTTCCAAATCTCCTAAAGCTAAAATTATTAAATGTCTTTTTGACTTATTTCAGTATAAATAATAATTGAAAAAGCAAAATATCAATTTAAACATGACTTATACGCTTTTAACGATCGACTTCTTGCTTTTATTAAATTATATCATTGTAAAGCGTGCAATAAAGTGGGACTTTGTTATTTACTTATTCATTCCAAAATGAAGTCACTCAATCCTACCCAAACCTTCGTGCTTATTCCTCGCTAATATTAGCGAGAAATTGTAATCAATATTCAGATTGATCACCAATGTAATGATGGATTTCACAGAACTAAAAACACGTGTTAGTTGAGAACATTTAGAGAAAATTATTCTACAATAGCATGTCTTCACCAAGGCGACACCTAGACACTGGCCTAATGACCTCTCACACAATTACACCTATAAATGTGAATTTTGGCAGGAGTTACTTCAGACACAACAATAGCATGTCCACTAAGCAGCAAGACAATAATGTCATAATTTCTGTGGAAGACAAAGCAAGCAGTAATGATGTAAGCTCGCCATATTAACTGTATTTTATTGATTAATTAAAATTCTAATCTTTAGGCTTTTGAATTGACCGCGAAGAGTGAATTAACCTTTCCATCGGAGTCGAGTTCTCTAAGTAGTAGTGACTACAAAGATCAAAATACAATCAAACGATTTGAACTATGGGATCAAGATGACTTTCCTGATAAACCACAGGAGAGAACATGTGGTCCAAATTTGATATTTCAAAAGTACGCGAGTGCTCGCAATGCGATATCTAAACCGAGAGTTGAAGAAGGAGTTCTTGGCCCACTGTGTCTCTTCTTGCTCCTTCTACTTGATGTTGCATTCGTTGCTTTTGTCTGTGCCACCAGAAAATTTCAAGATCCGGAAAATGTGACCCTTCTCTGGATATCGGCTATTTTTTGGTTTGTTATCCTCTTCAAACTTGCAAGAAGCCTTGCGCGACTTGGTCATCAAAGAGGTGGATGTTGCAGAATGTTCAGCTGGGTGGCTAACCTCTGTTCCATGATTTGGAGAGGCACGAAACGTATCCTTAAAGCCCCATGGAGACGAATCTGGGGACGCATTGGAGGGAGCGAAGACCAAGTTAAAAGAAAGAAGAGTGTGGCTAAGATAACGTAGGTCTACCTTTAGGGCGTAATTGTCATATATAATTATTCCGTAATTTTACCTCGATCGATTAATTTTAGTTTAGCTTTTCTGTTTATGGGTGGATTCACGCTTTTTTGCTTGATCTACTACGTGAAAAAAGACAATTTGATTTCCTTATCTGGAATCGCCACCCTGATCATTGCTTCAATTCTCCTTTCCCGATATCCTGGAAGAGTAAGCTTCTAAACTTTTCAAAATATTTGAATTTTTACTTCAGGTGCACTTTAATAAGACGAATTTTTTCAGAGGAAAATAATTAATTCGATTTTGTTTGATAACTAGTAGTATGAAGACATTGTTAAGATTTTAGGATTTCTTCTATCTAACTTAGCGTTTTTAATTGCAGTGGTTATGGTATAAAAATATATTAAATTTCTTAATTTAATGAAAAACAAAATCGATTGAGCAAAATCAATTGTGAATTCTCTTTTTTGAAAATTCAATTAAAACAGCTTTCTCCCCATAGTTGACTTAACCGAATCTGGTAATTTAATGTAAATGTTATTTATATATCGCTTCAAATCCATATGTCCCGATAACCTTCTTGGAAAGCTTTGAAAGGGTTACAGCTTGCCAAAATGTCTCTTTTGTGGTAAATGAAGAGAAGAATAAATTGACTAACCTATTTTAAAACTACCGGGTAGTTGCTAACGAAGTTATTTTAATTGAAAAGAGTAAACGTGACAAAATTTTGCTGTTTGCAAGTTATTCGGAATTATAGTATCTTACCATTTCGTCTAACATAGAATGGAATTACAGCTTTACAGCAGTCACTGCTAAACTTGCTTGTTTAAATGTCTGTGAAATATGAAACTGTCTGTAATAGAACAAAAGATGAAAGCAAGTCATTACTAGTACAAAAATTTCCATTGAATTTCATTTCAGCATCATCCGCTTCACAATAAGAATTTTTCTTTCACTTGAAGGGTCACACAGATAAAAAAGTAATAGCTATAGCAAATACGATATTACTGGCAGTAGTATTTATTTATTTATATATATTTATATCAAATGGCAGGCGTCTTAATAGTTACCGTTAGCTCTTTATTTGACCTTAGGCTCACAGTGGGGAAGGAACATCGAAGTGACAAAAAGTCGAAAGGGAGGGGGGGGACAGAATAGTGATTCAGAGATGTGAAAGAGCCAGACAGACACAAAGGTAGATGAAAGGTGAGGTGAGTACTGTGGAAGTAGTCGAATATGACATACAGTGAGGTGATGGTAAATTGAATTCAGAAGTCGACTGCTAGTTAATACACTTTTTTGCCGTATGAGTATACATTGTCCTGGGTGCACCACGTGGATATAATTCTATCGTACACCCCAATAATTACACTGGCAGCAAGATATAACCTTTTATTCCAGACAAGAGTGTTGATAGTGACGAAGGTGGATCCAGCAAAGTGGGTTATCTACCTACTAATTAACCGTAAGAGGAGCATAGAATGAGAGCTCCCCATTAGATTGACTTAAGGGCGCCTTTCCTCATTAATGATAAATATTTTTGTCCCTTTGCTTGGGGGTGATGAGGCAAGTGATTTTGAAAATATTCGTGAGGCCCATTGATAAGAATTCCTCAACAGCAAGAAAGTTCTTTATTTTTTTCTCATTTCAGATTAATTGGAGGCCTGTCTTAATATGCCTCTTCCTCCAGATGTTCCTTGCTTTCATCACCCTCAAAACACACTTCGGTTACTATGTCTTCGATTTTATGGGAAAGAAAATAAGCGCATTTCTTGATCACGGAAACAAGGGAGCGACTTTTGTATTTGGAAATCTTCAATGCTTTGCCTTTAGCGTAAGTTTCTCCTTCCTCAGCTAAACTGGACGAGAAATCGAAGACAGTGTTTAAGTCCTCTTTCCCCCCCCCCCCATATTTTAGGTCCTTCCGGTGATTATCTTCTTCTCCGCATTCATGTCTGTTCTCTTCTACCTTGGACTAATTCAAGTCCTAATTGAGGGACCCTCAGCGGTGTTGACAAAATTTCTACAGACTACAGGTCCGGAAACATTAAACGCCATTGCAAATATATTGGTTTCAATGGTTCGTAAATTTATTCCCTTCAGTACCATGTATGTAAAACTTGAAACTCACCATTCTCTCTTGCTTCAAGAATGAAGCTCCTTTGATAACACGACCGTATTTACCATTGTTGACGAACTCGGAGCTTCACGCCATCTTTGTCAATGGATTTGCATCGATCTCGGGGTCTGTTATGGCAGCGTTCATACAATATGGCGTAATTGGAGTGTTCATCACTTACTTATATTAAATGGAAATATGTAACTATTGCTTTACTCTTACAGATTCCTGCAAATCATCTTTTAATTGCCTGTGTCCTATCTGCGCCAGCAGCCCTTGCTATATCTAAGATTATGTACCCGGAAACGAAGGTTTCTCTCATGGCTAACACCAAGTTATCCCTCAAGCTACAAAGGTATGGTCTTATTATATTTGGTATACTGTACGTGATATATTTTTTATTGACTTCTAAGTTTATTTGTTATTGGAAGTGGCTTGAAGTTGGATGTTCCACATGTTCTACTTTACCCAAAATTAGAATTAGCTTTCTTTTCGAATTCGATATCATAGAATTCTCTAATGTATCAAGTATACTCATCATAGAATTTCTCATAAACAAGGCGGAAATGGGAAGATAGAAGGGTGGACTGAATTTAATTGAACTTTCTAAGACTGTAAGATAGGAGTTATCATTCTACAATGACTCTTGCCATCTCCAACAGCATGGATTGCAGCTGAGTCTTTCTCGGATAATGACCTCTCATTGGTTCGTTTAATTTCGATGTTGGCCTGCGTATCGGCAATCGCATTATATTTTGCCCAATGGAGTTGATAACTTAGCTCACAACCCAACCTCCTAGTAGCAACGTGTTAGGTGGCTCACTAACTGATATCCCACCATCTTAGCCGTTTGTTTAAAGTGGATTAGTGTGTGAACAGAAAAAAGGGAGGGTTAAAGTGAGCTCTATTCACCCATTCAGATGTAACACGGGCGGTGCCAAAGGACACTTTATGCGACTTTACGAGAATACTTCTTTACGGACTATCTGATTGCTATTTACAATGTGCCCGTATGCATACAAACCTCAAGAAATAGAGATTGCAAGTACTGTGTATCACGTAACCAATGACTCAATAATACCTTATGCCCGATGTTATGAGGTATAACAAAGTCTTATTGTAATCGCAAATTGTAATTGTAATTGCCAGTTATCAACCGTAATAATTAGTCAGATTTTACATCAGGAAACAAATATAATTATGGGAAATAATCTAATATTTCTTCTCGATTCCAAAATTATTCAATATTCAACTATTGAAGCAAAAATCAATCTTTATATTGTTAAAGTGAACTTGTCTGAAGTAACTTATCACATACATAGTTCAAAATGACGCATAATAAGTTTTTGCAAAAAAACGAGAACTTTTATTTTCTTGCATCTTGGCTGGGATAACGGCCAAAAATTAAAAAATCAATAACTTATCAGTCTTATTTTCGAATAAGAGATATGACTGGAAGGATTCCCAACGGAATTCGTATAATTATATTCGCAAAATGTTCAGTTTTTCAAGCCTCTATTATTCTAAAAGATTTTAAGAGGATCTCTTCTAATAGTCCCGTTTAAATTGATTTATAGTACAAAATGATCGAAGCAACTAATTAAGTCCACCTCTTTGTCAAAGATTATAAGAAGAAAATTCTAAACCTATAGGATTGGCTTCAGTGTCTTGTATTTCCACATTCAGGACCAAATGGAAATCGGCAGAATTTTTTATTTACGTTTCCGCTTTGTTTTAGTAAAATTTTATACGAACTTCGAAACACTTTTAACCCTTCAGCATTTTCAATTTAGCCCTTATCACAGTGTCATAGAGGCTGCAATGGTGGGAGCTATGGACGCAGTACCGATTTGTGCTGGAATTGTTGCAAACTTGATCGCTTTTCTCAGTATTTACAGTTTCTTCAATGGAATTCTACGTTGGATGGGTGAACGAGCTGGATTAGTCTTTGATCTCACCTTTGAAGTAAGTTGAAAAAATGTCATTCCTACAGGAATAAATCTTTCGTGTAATTATATAAAATAGAGCAATTGGAATAAATACTTCTTAGAGAATATATGGGTTTTGGAAAAAGAGCACCGAAATGCAGAAACTATTCCCGTCGACATGTGTGGCCGACGTACTTTAAAGTTTCAGGAAATTATACTTCTTCTCCTATCCCAGAAAAAGATGCGCTGCTATTTTCAAAATATCTTTCAAAGAGATGCTTTTCCCTTATGGGCGTGACAGTCAATCATAGCAACTGAAGATTGGGTACTGACAGTTCTTTCTGCCACCCTTTTTATGAACATGCTCATCTCAGTTCTCACTCGAATTTGCTTAAGGTGGAGCTTTAGAATCTGTTGACAAAGTGAGTTCCAACACTCAGTGGGATCATTGAGACTCTACTGAGATGCCTGAATCCTGCCATCCCTCTACTAGGAAGTATCAACCCATGTCATTGGCTCTTCTTCTCTCTTTGTGTGTGTGTGTGTGTGTGTATGGTGGGCATTGAATCTGTGAACACAAACGTCGTGATCGTATACTTTAAACGGTATATCGGTTTCACCGACGCTATACAACCATTTTAGCTCTCATTTTTCGTTCTGTTTAAATACCTACTATCATCCACTAAGCAGAGTGCTAAATATCTCTCTCATCTAATTCCGTTGCCTTAATAGCGAATAGGGGTGGGAAGTTGAGCAATGGAATTTTGAGTCAGGTTGGACAGGAATACCCCAATTCATTTAACCTCCATAATCATATGATCAACAACAACTTATGTTTTTCGTCACATAAGAGGCGTAGCACCCATTTGCTGGACAAAGGAGTCAGTCAGTTAACAGATAATTGTTGGAGTTGGGGGTGATTGAATCACAGGAACCTTCTTATGGTACTGTATGCATATGGACTCTGCAGTTATATCTGGCGGTTAATTTCGCCATCATTATTGTCAAATACCGGCCTAATAATGAATGCCGAACTTTTAAGCCCACAACCTCTGTCAATACTTCTTTTTCTCTCTAGAGTATATTCTCATACGTTCTCTGGCCAATGACTTTCACTATGGGCGTCCCATTTAACGATTCTCAAAAGGTCGCGGAACTAATTGGACTCAAGACGTTCCTGAATGAATTCGTAGCTTATAATAGACTAGGTAAAGTGATGCACCTTAGACATTGCGATGCAAATAAAACCCATTTCAAAAGCACTTTAATATATGTGGATTTTAATTTTAGGCGTCATAATAAACGACACGAATATGTACAATAAACGAAACACTTCATTCCCAGTAAATCATTTTAGCAATGGAAGCATGTCCTTCATAATGGACAAAAGTACAACCATTATAGCTCAATACGGTGTCCTTTTCGTAAGTTCATACTCCTCCTGTTTTGTTGTTTATATTGATATTCTGCATTCATGACTGTTGACTCTCATTTTAATAAAGGTCTGGAAAAGGACAGTTTTCGAGGTTGGGAGTAAGCTAGGACACCAGGGGTCTTATTTCAATAAATTTAAGTCTTAGAAGTATTCAACTTAATGAGCTCAATTCACTGCATAATGCCGGAATGTTTCAAAGTAAAAAATTACAAGATTTCACTCCAGATTTCCTGATTGAGTTCAAATGCGAGATATAAAGCTTTTATTAACTCCATAATTGAACTGAACTGTTAGTTATACCACCTTAAATATTCAAAAATAGTATAGTTAAGGTAAATTATATTTTTAAATGGAAACGAACCGCATATTTCGACAACTCGGGGTGTGCGATAGACTTACCTCCACGTGGTGCATCCTGGGCAACGTATACTCATACGGCAAAAAAAGTCTATAACCCGCAGTTGACTTTGAGTTCAAGCTATCAAGACCCCACTGTATGTCAAATTCGATTACATCCACAGTACCCACCTCACCTTTTTTCTACCTTTTCTATCTTCGTCTTTGAAACACTCTTCTGTTCCCCCCCCCCCCCCCGACTTTTTTTAATTTGATGTTCCTTCCCCTCTGTGAAGCCTGAGGTCAACTAAAGGGCTAATGACAACCATCAAAACGCCTGCCATTTGATATAAATAAATAAATATTTTGACAAATCAATTATTTCACCTCCTTAGACGGAAAAGGCAAAGGTTATTGCAACTTATGCTCTATGTGGATTTGCCAATGTTGGATCCATTGGAATATCTCTGGGAGTTATGGCTACAATGTTACCCCAAAGGAGAAAGGATTTGTCGGGTATGGTTATCTACGCAATGATTGGAGGAAATTTCGCCTGCCTATTGACAGGTTGCTTCGCAGGTAAATACTCGTTAATTGTCATACAAAAATTCTTGCTATTAAGTAGATCAATATTTTTTGAATTTTTTTCCGATTCAATGACTAAAATTATACGTATTTGTGTCATTAATTTTGCTTTATGAATCTAGACCCTAATCTTATGCTCAGCAATGATTCCTATTTACATTATGCATTAACTTATCAATGCAATAATTAAATTAATTTAGAAATTCATTATTTGTTTGATTTCTTTTATAGGTCTGTTCTACGAGCAATATTAATAAATACGTTTTCTGCATTAAAATAACGTAGTTACTCAGTAAGACTTCCTTCTGCCTATGTAAAATGATATTTAGAAATATATAAGGCTCATTGCCTACTATATTTTCTCAATAAATCTGGTTTTGTTATAATAATCGGATTATAACCAAGAATTTAAGCAATATTTCAGGCATGCTCGATGCCTGAAATCACGTGACAGGTATCAATTTGTGCATACGTCTGATTAGAAAAGGGATTATTGAATATGAATTACTTGCAAGGAAAATCTCATAATCCTCACGGTGAATTGTTAATAACGCTTACTTGGTTATTGATTGGTTATAATAACCTCAGCTTTATATGCAAAAAATTATTTGACTGTATTCTCGTTCATAGTCTTGTGCACTGTCTACACCTGTCAACTCCGAGGTAATTTAGACGAGTCAACAGTAAATAGAAAGAAATTTGGCACAGGCAACTTCATTAGCACTGATATTAAGCCATGACGTCACCGGAATACAGCTCACTAGGGTTACTAAAGCGTAGAAAAGTAAAAAAATGTGGAAATAAGATTTTCAGTTCAGCTAGACCTTTACCAGGAAATAAGCCTATTTTTTACAAAACATTTATTTATATTTATTTATCTCAAATGGCAGGCGTATTGATGGTTATCATTAGGGGGGGGGGGGGGGAACAGAGGAGTGTTTCAAAGACAAAGGCAGAAAAGGTAGAAAAAAAGTGAGATGAGAATTGTGGAAGTGAACGGAAATGACATACAGTGGGATCATGGTAGTTTGAAGTCAGAAGTCAACTGCCGGTTAATGGACTTTTTGCCGTATGAGTATACGTTGCCCAGGATGCACCACGGACTCTTTTGCCGTGTATACGTTGCCCAGGGTGCACCAGTTTGTTTGCCGTATGAGTATACGTTGCCCAGGGTGCACCACGTGATAGACTTACTTGCCGTATGAGTATACGTTGCCCAGGATGCACCACGTGGTGGTATGCCTATCGCGTACCCATTTTTTGCAAAACATTGATATAGGCAAAGAAGTATATATATATATACGCTAGAGACTTCCAAATAATATAGCAAACTGAAGATTTCATTTCTAAATTCATGTGTGCAGAAAGGGAGTTTGAAAATTTTTTCCCATTGATTTAAACATTTACACAAATTTCCTGAAGGTTTTGATTTGGTGTCTTATTTGTCTTCAACTTGCTGGTCGGACTTCTGTTATTATTAGGGTTTAATAAATGGCGAAAACTTTTCAGCTAATAAATATATTAAAGTTTTAAATATTTATTCAACACATTATCAATTATTTACAAGATTTACTTTGTCAAAGTTTTCAAAAATCTTGCGTTGTCGCTCGATATCACTGGGAGATTAAAGCCTCATCGTCGCTTTAGCGAACTTTGATCGAGATTTCTTGACTTATATGAGGTGCTAACGAGACTGTTCACACCACCTCAAAAAGTAGTTTTTACTTGTGGGAAGCAGGTGAAATTGAATGTAGGGGATCAAAGACAAGTTATCAAAACGTCTAGCTCCACTTATCGATTTTTTACTTCCGATTGAGCAATGTGGTATCAGCAGTTTACATTGCAGACATGAGATAGCTCCATAAGAAATATTCCCTCGAATTGATATCTACTAGTGCACATTTAAATTTCTAGCTCTTTTAAGATATTAATTCATCACTATTAAAAATACTTTATTTGATTGGGACTCTCTACCGAAGCCCTTCCCAAGGGTCTCTAAAATTCTCCAATCATTAAAAAAATAAAAAGAGGTAGCTAATTTTCCGCTAAAGTGATCAATTATTTAATGGAAATATAATAAATTAAACAAATAAATCGATTTTTTGACAGTGAAGCAAATGGATGAGCACTCTGAATGTTAGCATGTGCAGAGACTGGAAAATGCCCAATGACTTAAGCTAAAAATAGGCACACCCTAGTTCTTAACTCATTGTGCAAAGAATTTTAAATAAATTAAATTATAATATGTTTTTTATTATCTGTTAATAAAGAAGAAGGTAGAGTGAGAAAAACCAGTGAGAAACACTCAGTGTCTTAAAATTGGCTCTTGAATGGCAACGCAAGCAAAATGTTTGAGTCAAGGAGGGGGGGGGGGGGGGGGGGGGGGGGGGGGGAGGGGAGGGGAGGAGAGGAGAGATGAGAAAAAAATCGATAATGGACAACTTGTCTCACTTCCCTTCTATCTGGGCTCATATGACAATGGTGTACCTACTTCCACGAGTCATAAATAGCTTGTGAATAAATTATACTTCATTTGCACTGTAGTAATTAGTAAGCATTCACTTACGCAGAAATGAGGAACTTAGAATCTGAAATTGAAAATTATCAACTTTCGAATGGGCTCATAAGAAATCCGCTACAAAAAAGGGCAAGTGAAATATTAATATTTTGGTACATCGGATCAAAAGGACAATTTTTCACCATTGTTTTCACCAGAATCATAACTCACAGTTTAGACGAAAAATCACAAGGTCTTATAGAATGTAATTGTAACAAAAACTAATTCTTATCAGGTGTTACTTTAGTAAGATTAAATATTTTCACCTAAATCTAACTCGCTTAATGACCTGAAAAACTTGCGTCATTCGAGTCAACTTTAAAAAAACATTTATAAAAGGGTGCTGCGTAGGCACCTTACGTAATTTACGAATTTTATAGCACCCACACATTGGTGATACTAACATAACACTAATCAAAAGGAAAAGAATATTTATCCCTTTGACTTCAACTTTGATTGGACTTTTAAAAGTAAATTGATCCCAACACTACTGTTTCCAAAATCTACCTAGAAAATGAAGAGATGGACTATTGCTACGTTGGAAAACTGCGGAAATTGTGGTGGGTAGAGAGAGAGAGAGAGAGAAGAGCCGATGAAAAAAATGGACTATGTGAAAATTAAATTATAAAATTGAGAATTAACGGGTAGAATTTTCATTTGAAAAGGTCATACGGACTGTAGTTGACCTTGTCTATGTGACTGAAGGCGATATAATTAAAGTCATGTCTCAGTATCAAGCGGGTGAGTTGGCTATCACTGTGAGCACACTACAACGCTCTCATCCTAAGTGCATTCAAGCGATGGAATTAGTACAAAAATATCTAATCACGATAAAAACAAAAAACTAGAACAAATATATTTACTGCTTTGTAAACGTAAAAAATCCCAAATAGAGCTGCGATACTTGTCAAAGACCTTTAAAATAAAGCCACCTAAATTCAATTTTTGAATGTCAAATATTCGTTAACGATTTTATAACACAAAAGAAAGCTATCAAATCAATTTACAGGATCTTTTAAACTTTGCCGGCTGAAAAGTGCGTTTAAGGCAATAAAAATAATAAATTAAATAAAATATTTAGTCGACCCATAGAACAGAGCGATAGAAATAGTAGTTTAGAATATTGGGGTATGCGATAGACTTATCTCCACGTGGTGCACCCTGGCCAAAGTATACCGCCAGTTACCTTTAAACTACCATGAACCGATTATATGTCATATTTCACCACTTTAACGGTACTCACCTTTCCTTTTCTCTACCTTTGTATCTGTCTCTTTGACACTCGTGATTCACTCTTCTGTTCCCCCCATCGACTTTTTGTGACTTAGGTGTTCCTTCCCTCTGTTAAGCCAGAAGTCAACTAAATGACTAATAATAACCATTATAAAGCCTGCCATTTAATATAAATAAATAAGTTTAGAACATCGGATGGTAGAAATCTGCTCTTAATCCTTAGTTAGAACAATGAATGTCTATTGATCACAAGTTAACTATATCTCAATTCTAAGATGTTTTCACGTTAATAAGTTAATTCAGAAATGATTAGACCTAGACACGACCTTTTGCCTAATTATGCAATACGATAGGGGTGACAAGGGAATATTTACGGATTTTTTATTCCAATATTCTAAAATTTCTTGATCAAAGCATATTTGAGCGCTGACTCATTACCATTACTTTATCCTTGCTTTACTAGGAAATTTAATGTTATGTTTACAACTGTTATTATGTTGAATTAGAGTTAAAGTACAAGTGAAACAGCTTATTTTAACGAAGGAGGCAACACTTAGTCCTTCATTCAAATTGTTGTTTTTTTAACAGCAATCCTCGATCTTTTCATATTTTATGGTGAATTAAACGTAAAAATATTTCAACCTCGATAACCAATACTAGTTACGCAACGGATTGCTACATTAATAGGAAAGTTTCCCAAGGTTTGGAATGGTTCCCAAGATTAGCAAAGCTACCGCAATGCTATAGAGAAAACAGACGGATTACGTGGAATACGTTTATTGCTAGCGTGGGGTGTGCGAAAGACTTACCTCCACGTGGTGCACCCTGGGCAATGAATACTCATACGGTAAAAAAGTCTATTAACCGGAAGTTGACTTTGAGTTCAAGCTATCAAGACCCCACTGTATGTCAAATTCGACTACTTCCACAGTACTCACCTCACCTTTCATCTATCTTTGTGTCTGTCTCTTTTACATCTTTAAAACACTCTTCTGTTCACCCCCCCCTCTCGACTTTTTCGATTTGATGTTCCGCTCCCTCTGTGAAGCCTGAAGTCAACTAAAGGGCTATTGATAACAATCAAAACGCCTGCCATTTGAAATAAATGCATAGCTAGCGTTGTGTTCCCCCCACCCCCCACGCTATTCAAAAAACTCCACTGAAGGTACTTTAAGCATAAAAGAAAGTAGGATTAGCATTCGGTCAAGTCTTTATTGTTGAAATGTAACCGCGAATGGGTAAATTACCTTAATGAAATTAGTTAAACAATCTAAATTATTTGCTGGATCACCTAGAAGTCGAAAATGGCAGAACGAACATAAAATTTCGAATTTGCGTAATTTAGCTTTAAGATGTGAAGTCAATTAGACACTTTATTGCATGTTTATTTTTAAAAAAAACATAAAATACTTGATTAAATTTCCTCATTTGGTTAATCAAATTCGAATGAACAAATTTTAAATG